AGAGGATGGAGGACGGGGCTCCTCGGTGCTGCTGTCCCAGCCTTGTCCCGCAGCAGGGTCGCGGCCGCCCCGCCGTGGCGCACACCCCCCGTGGTACCCCCGCGGCCCGTGGTGCCGAGCCACCGCCCGGCGCAGCCCCCGCTGGCACCGGCAGGAGGTGACAGCGCTGGGGACAGCTGCGGTGACTCAGCGCCGGCACCGGGCCGGCCTGGGCACCAGGGGGAGCCGCAGGATGGGAGCCCGGGGTGCCGGGACCCGGCCGCCGCCGTGCGCCCCGCTGCGGCCGCAGCACCCTGCCTGCCCTCGCGAAAAGGAGAGGGGAGGGAGGGCTGGGGGGCAGTGGGGCCTGACCCCAACGGAACTTTTTTGTGTAGTCCCGGGCGCCCCTTATCTCAGGAAGTCAGCTGAATTGCATCAGAGAGTTTGCTATAATAATTGTGCAAGCCACACGGTAAGAGACTTTTTTTTTTTCAGCGCTGCACAACGTTTCAGCTTTTGATTGCCTCAGAACACAACCCTTTCCACAGCCTCCTCAAAACTGGCAGTTATGTGCTACATCACAGTGTTATTGCAGGCTGCAAAGCAGCATTCGTAGTCGGGGGTTTGAACTGCACAGGGAGCTGCATGCCCAGGGTCCCACATCGCATCCAGCCATCTCCCTTCCCTTCTGCCAGCTCCACATGCAATGCACTGGGAAGCACAGCCACAGCAGTTTAGTGGGCTCCAGGAGAGGAGAAAAGCCATCTCAGGAGGCAGTGCCACCCATCCTGATGGCAGCACCCTAAGCCAGCTGTGTCCATGCTTCCCAGCGCCCTGATCTCCCCAGCAGCCTGCCCAAACCTAGGAGGGAAAAGTCATCCTGGTGCTTTCAGCAGGAGCAAGTGCAGAAGGATGGAGAAGCAAGAAACAGCCGCGGCAGGGCAACTTTTGTTCAAGCAGGGCCCTGCTTTGGGCTGGCTTCAGCACCCCGACAGACCCAGGCTGTGTACGCGAGGCACCACCCCGCGGGGCTGCTCGTGCGCGCTGACGCCAGGGCTGCTGCCCAAGCCAAGCCCAGGCAAAACTGAGGTGTTTGCAGATTTTAAATCAGCAGAGTCTGCGGCAGGCGGAGGTGGCAGGAGCGCGTGATTAAGTAGGTTATCTGCCATGAGCGCACACATGTGCCCAGGCAGCACCGCAGCTGATTTCATGCACACACCAACATGCTCGTGCCCACATGCTCCCAAGCCCCTTCAAATCCTTAAATCCCTAAAGGGCCAGGAGAGGTGAGGGGGATTTTCAGCATTCTGCTGTTTTCCGTAGCCATTGGTGCCTAAACAGCAGTGCAATGCTGTGGGTGCGATGGAGAAGGCTGTAGTTCTGATAGCACCCATCACAAAACGGCAAGTGAAGCATCACCTGCCAAAATTAATGTTTCCAATTCATCAGCACCACACTGGGATTATTAATGGACCTGACTGAGGATCTTGGAGAGCTGTTAGTAAATCAGAAAGTAAATCTGACATCACTGCAAGAGTTAGGAAAATAAGCCAGTCAAACCAGAAAACTCTAGATTACTGATAAAGCCAGAGGGGAAAAAATAGCAGAAGAATTAGTTTGGATTGTGTCAGCAAAGAATTAAAGACTGAAGAAATGTGTTTAATACTGAGCAGTCTTGTCCCGGGGAGGGCAGGTATTGCGATGCAGATGTGTTGTCTTTTTCCAGCACGATTACACGTCTGGCTGATGCAGATCTGCACTGCTGGCACAACACCCTTACTTGGGAGCTGGCAGGAGGTGATGGTGACAGAGTTCAAATAAATCCCAACGTTGCTGCAAAGAGGACTAGAATAATCTGTTTTCCTGTCCCACAGAAGAAGCAAAGGACAACGTTGCAGCGGGAGAGGCTCCTCAAGGAGATGCTTTCGGACGGTGCAGGTAGCAGAGGAGCACAGCAGCTTGCTGGAGGCATCATCCTCGCCTTCCAGAGCAGGTTTCTGTGTTTTACCAGAGGATTTACTGGACATGCCAAGCCAGCCTGTTTATTATCCTGCACTGCTAAGGAGGCACCAGGTGCATCAATAGCAAATCTGTGCTTGTCAGGCAGAAGATGTACTGCTGGGGCCTTTGTAGTGGGCAGTCCCCAGGGTTCACAGCCCACAGTGAAAGGAAGTGGCTGCTAAGAAAATCACGGGATAGCACAGCTTGGTGAGGTGGTGGCAGCATATCCCGAGCTGGGAGGAACCACAAGGATCACGGGGTCCAGCCCCTGGCTCCACACAGACCCAGTCGGACACCCCGGGCTGGAGCCGTGCTGGAGAGGGGAGCGCCCCGGGAGCCATTGCCTGCCCCGGTTATTAAATGCATCTTTTATCTCCTTAACTGTTTCCCTCTGAAATCCTCTGGTGTCTGGCCAGCCGCCAGCACCATCCTTCCGCTTTTAACGACTCTGCAGCAATCCCCGGGACTCCAGGCTGCTTTCGCAGCGTGCCCGCTGGCTGACAAGCTGCTTGCATTGCACACAGCGTGGAAAACCCCTTACACACGGCTGTCCAAACCCCTTTCAGTGAGCCCCTCCAGGGGTTCTAGCATCACCTGGCCATGCAGGATTCATTGCCCTCCTATTCCCAGTGGTGAGAGGGCAGGGGAAAGCAGCGCTGACTCCTCCTTGCCGCCCGTACCCATGAGCGCAGGGCACCTGGGCGGGCTCAGCCCCTCCATCACCTGCCTGGGGGCAGCCGGTTCACGCCAGGCATGCTCAGAGCCCCAACATGAAGTCACTGCAATTAGCCAGCCTGGGTTTTGTTTCACTCCCGTGGGTGTGTAGCCGCTTTTCCCAGGAGGTGAGGCAAGGCGGTGACACGCAGCCAGCCTCTGAGCGAGGGAGGCTGCTCACGCAGGGCTGGGGCACCCCGGGGACGGCCAGTCCCGACTCGTCCGCCCGGCCCTCGTAGCCTTGCAGGCTGGGGACGAGCACGGGTGAGAGGCTGCGGCCCTGGGAGCGCCTCCCTGCCCTGGCTGCCGCCCGGTGAGTCAGGGCTTAGGACTGCGGCGAGATCTGGAATTAGCTTTATTGTTCCTGTAACGCGGCGCGCGCTGCGGGCCATGCAGCAGGCATTTCACAACTGGCTTCATTTGATCTGAACCAGCAATTACGCTGCTCCAGCTCAGCCCCAGCAGAGATAGCTCCTGCCGGATCAGTTCGGTGCTCTGCAGCCCATCCGCTCCTCTGCAGCAGAAGCCACCCCTGGTTATTGAGGACACCCACAAAGGAAGGCTCCTTGGCCCCGGGGGTGACAGTGCTTTGATACCCTTACAGCCAGCAGGTCTTAGACATCTGTCTTCTCCCCTGAGCAGATCCCTTCCTATCTGCATCTGCCTTAAAGATACTTTAAGGCCTTTGCTGAGTCTCAGCTTGGTCCACTTGGACCGGCTAACAGGGTTCTGGAAGAGGTTTGGTGCTGGGGCCGGCCAGCCCTGCTGGCAGCGGTTCCTCTACTGCAGCAGCACTTCTCCTCTGGTGAGAAGGGTGTTTTCACACCAAGAGACAACCTTTCACAATAACTCGCAACAAAGGGCTGTTTGGCGTAAATCAGGAACTAAGAAATACGTCCACTCTCTAAATGTAGTGCCATAAACAACGGGGGGCTGTTGCAAGGACTGGAGGCACTTGTGAGTGGCGAGTCCCTGGCAGTGTCTGCCCTTGTTGGAGGCACTGCAGACCTGCAAAATGTTACATGTGTGCTGCCTCCCCTTCCTCCTCCTCCTCCTCCTCCTCACATAGCTGTGTCCAGGCTCTGCGGGCAGCAGCAAGCAGGGGCTCTGCCACCTGCGCTACCTCCAACCTGGTTTTCTCATTCTTCCATCAAGGGCTTGCTGAATTCTGACTCACTGATGAAAGAAAAAAATTTCCACTGCTGGATCTCGCTCCTTGAAAATACATCCTTGGGATAAATACACGTTAGCCTTTTGTTGGGCTTGTCATTACACCTTCTGCTTGTTTCCCAGTCAAACACGACGTCAGTTTGGTGACTTTCCACAGCCCCGATGATCCGGCTGATCGCTGCTGCCCGGCTTTATCCAGCTGCTCTGCAGCATTTCCGAAAGGCTCAGACATCTGTTCGGTGCTCTCAGATGGGAGGTGCGTGGCTGTGCGTGGCTCGGAATCACTCATGGCTCCCTCGTCACTCGCTGCCAGCCTGCTCCTAGCAGAACAGCAGCTGAATGATATTTTTTCACCACGAGCACGCACTCACAGCGGTGATGAATCAGTGTAGTCTCACCCCCAGCTCCCTACCAGAAGCAAATCCCGGCACCTCTCAGAGACGTATCGCATCATTTAGCACCCCGAGGTGCCAGGGGATTATCAAACAAATCTTCCGAGGCTGGGTGAACTGCCCAAGCCCTGTTGCTCTCCTGAAAGGCCGCTCGCTGCCTAGCTCTGCTGCCTGTGTCCCAACCTGTGCCGCGAAGACTCACGCTATGAACGCCCCAGATTTAATTGGCAAAAGTCAGGACGGTGCCAGGAGACACCCAGCCAGCACCGACGCACTGGCACAGCCTGCACAGCCGCACCGCTGCCGTCAGCCACTCGGCACCTCTCCAGCAGCGAAGGTGACACCGTGCAGGTGACTCAGGCACACAGAAGGACCCTTGTGAGCGGGGGATTTACGTCCAGCTTTCGGCTTTCCGCCTGAGCTGCGAGATGACAGCGCCTTTCAGTGACAACTCATTAAGGCAGAGGCGGGGCTGGCTCTGCAGCACGGTGGATGCTGCAAATATTTGGCAGGGGGTAGGATGGAGCAGACATCACTGAGTCCCAGCAAAGAAAAGACCCAGTGAATAACCCCCCCGTGAGGTTCCTGGAAGCCCCCCTGCCAGGAGCAGCCCGGATGGGTGCAGGGGCAGCCTCGCAGCCCTCCCGTGTCCCCTCCGCAGGGGGGGGAGCTGGGGATGCTGCCCCTCGGCGGCCCTGCCTCTGCGCCCAGCCTCACCTATGCAAACCGAGGAGAAATACGGGCGATGCACACGAATTTATGCAAAGGCTGCGGGCGGGGCCGCCCGCCCCGAGCCCAGGGTGCCGCCCCCGGTATAAGGCGGCGGCGCGGCCGGGCCGGGCGTGCGGAGCTGCGGCAGCCCCGGGAGAGGCGGTGCGGAGCGGTGCGGAGCAGAGCGGCAGCATGGTGAGTGCTGGGGCGCCCCGAGGAGCCGGGCAGCCCGGGCAGGGCCCCCCCGGGGCGTCCGGGCAGTGGCCGGGGGGGTCCCGCACCCGGCGCGCCCCCCCTGCCCTTGCCGGGGTTCATCCTGTCCCCAGCTCCTGCGCGCACCCAGGCGCGCCCCAGCTCCTCCGAGCACCCCCTGCAGCCCTGGGAGCTGCTGGGCGAGGTGCGGGGAGCCCCGAGTTTTGGCTGAACCCCTCACCGCGCCTCCTCCTCCATCCTCTGACAGCCCCTGGTCCCACGGCGTGCCGGCTTTGCGCCCGGGCTGCCGGGCTCAGGCTGCAACCCCACAGCTGAGCTCTGGGATCCAGCCCCGGCTTCACCCCCTGCCCTGCCGCTGTGGTGCCAGCGTAGGGCGTGCGGGGTGCCCTGGTGTCCTGCCTGCTGCCCCAGGCTTTTTGGGGAGGGAAGGCAGAGCGAGGAGCCTTGTCCTGTGTCTTCTTTCTCGTGGCCACCCCAGGGTGCTTACAGCAGTGTTGGTGTTGGCTGCACGCTTCTGCTGGGGTCCTGGAGTTTCCTCCCCGTTGGCTCGTTGTGATACCAAACCTTTATGGACCTGCTGGGGGGGACAGGGGAACTCCTCGTTCCTCTCAGCTTTGGGAAGGAAGGAGAGATGGACTTCTGCTCCTCACCAAGGGTACCAACGCTTATCCCTGCCACTGCAGCCTCGGGAGAGCAGCTCCGACAGCTCCCCAGATGCTCAGAGCCAGGGTGTGCGTGCCATGACCCGCACTGCCTCCCGGGGCGGCCGTCGGTGCCGTACCCCTGTGCACAAAATGGCTCCAGCGCCTTCCTGCCAGCTGACTCACAGCGGGGCACTGGCTGCTCTGGAAATCCGGTCTGGTTTGGATGCTCCTCTGCCTCGGCTGTGCCTGATGACGCATCCAACCCTTGGCAACAACAGGACCGAGGCACCGAGTGTTTTGGTGCGCATCGAGAGGGCTGCAGCCTCCGCGGTGCCTCACCTGGAGGGAAGGAGGGGAGGAAGGAGGCTGTAGGACTGACCTCGGCTGCACTTTCCCCAAGGCACTGCGCTGTAGGGGACCTTCCCACATCAGCCCTTCAGCTCAGCTGCAAAGTGAGCTAACGCCTCCCACTCCAGAGCTAATTTAGGGAAGTGGAGCCTCCAAGCATGGCAACCATTCACTGCTGCAAATTCCCCCTGTGCCGGGCTCCTTTCCCAGCACTGCCACCCCCCAGCTCTGGGGTTCAGGCAGTGCTGTGCCACCTCAGCCCGCAGCCCTGCTGTAGGAGCAGCAGATGGCTGGGGGCATGCCAGCTGCTGCGGGACCCCAGCCTCAGCTGCATGAGCGCTCGTGCAATGGAGAAGGTGCTCCCTGGGTGCTTCCAGGGCTTTTGGCAGATGGGTCTCCATCCCCCTGAGGTGGGCAGTGCAGTGATGGGAGATAGAGCACGGGGTTTTGGTCAGGTCAGCAGGCAGGGATGAAGGCACCGTGCTGTAGGGTGGTGTAATCTGAGCAGACTCATGAGGCTCGGGCACCTCAACGCCTGCATTCGTGGTCCCTGCTGACCTCTGTCCCGTGCTTCCCCCTCCCCAGCGCGAGTGCATCTCCGTCCATGTCGGCCAGGCCGGCGTCCAGATGGGCAACACGTGCTGGGAGCTGTACTGCCTGGAGCACGGCATCCAGCCCGACGGGCAGATGCCCAGCGACAAGACCATCGGCGGGGGGGACGACTCCTTCACCACCTTCTTCTGCGAGACCGGCGCCGGGAAGCACGTCCCGCGGGCCATCTTCGTGGACCTGGAGCCCACCGTGATCGGTGCGTGCCGGGGCCGGGCTGTGTGGCACGGGGGGGCCCCCACTGACTGCTCTCCTGCTCCATTCTGCGCACCCCAGGTGGGCAGTGATGGTGGTCACTAGTGCAAGGAATAACCCAACATGTCTCCTGCCACCTTCCCCCATGGTGTCTGATATTGTGCTAACCTCTCCTAGATGAGATTCGGGGAGGAGTGTACCGGCAGCTCTTCCACCCCGAGCAGATGATCACTGGCAAGGAGGACGCTGCCAACAACTACGCTCGCGGGCACTACACCATCGGCAAGGAGATCATCGACCAAGTGCTGGACAGGATCCGGAAGCTGGTGGGTAACTGCTGCTGGCGGGGACGTGTCCCCTGGGCTGGGATCCATCGCTGTGGTGGAGGTGGGAGCGTGCAGCAAGCCCTGCTGTGTGCTGGGAGGGGTCAGCATTAGCCCAAGCAAAACTATGAAACTTCCCTCTAGCAATAGCAGTGCGTGGAAGACTCTCCCTTGTCTCTCCCTGCAGGCTGACCAGTGCACAGGCCTCCAGGGCTTCCTCGTGTTTCGCAGTTTTGGAGGTGGCACCGGCTCCGGATTCACCTCGCTGCTGATGGAGCGACTCTCTGTTGACTACGGCAAGAAGTCCAAGCTCGAGTTCTCCATCTACCCTGCCCCACAGGTCTCCACTGCTGTGGTGGAGCCCTACAACTCCATCCTCACCACGCACAGTACTTTAGAGCACTCGGACTGTGCCTTCATGGTGGATAACGAGGCCATCTACGACATCTGCCGCAGGAACCTGGACATCGAGCGCCCCACCTACACCAACCTCAACCGCCTCATCAGCCAGGTCGTTTCATCCATCACCGCCTCGTTGAGGTTTGATGGAGCCCTGAATGTTGACCTGACCGAGTTCCAGACCAATCTGGTGCCCTACCCTCGCATCCACTTCCCCTTGGCCACCTACGCCCCGGTTGTTTCGGCCGAGAGGGCGTATCACGAGCAGCTGTCGGTGGCCGAGATCACCAACTCGTGCTTCGAGCCGGCCAACCAGATGGTGAAGTGCGACCCTCGGCACGGCAAGTACATGGCGTGCTGCCTGCTGTACCGCGGGGACGTGGTGCCCAAGGACGTCAACGCCGCCATCGCCACCATCAAGACCAAGCGCAGCATCCAGTTCGTGGACTGGTGCCCCACGGGCTTCAAGGTGGGCATCAACTACCAGCCGCCCACCGTGGTGCCGGGGGGGGACCTGGCCAAGGTGCAGCGCGCCGTCTGCATGCTGAGCAACACCACGGCCATCGCCGAGGCCTGGGCTCGCCTCGACCACAAGTTCGACCTGATGTACGCCAAGCGCGCCTTCGTGCACTGGTACGTGGGCGAGGGCATGGAGGAGGGCGAGTTCTCCGAGGCGCGCGAGGACATGGCTGCCCTGGAGAAGGACTACGAGGAGGTGGGCCTGGACTCCTATGAGGACGAAGAGGAGGGCGAGGAGTAGAGGCGCCGCGGCCCGACAGGACCTTGCTCCTTTCCGCGGGCCTCCCTTTGCGGGAGCCCTTTGCAATAAACCGTTTGAGAGCCTCCGTGTCTGCCAGTAACCCCCCGGCTGCAGTGGTTTCTTGCCAGGTCAGCTGTGTGCTGAGCGCTGCTGCTGCTGCTGCTGCTGCTGCTATGCTTGCTCCCCATGCTCTGCTCCTGCTCCAGCTCGCTCCCCACGCAGCTCAGAGCCCCGTAGCTGGGGGATGAGGACAGGACACTCAGCATGTTCTGGTTAAAAACCCAGCCATGTCCAGCAAAGGGATCAGGAGGAAACCTGATGCTCTGATGGGAAAGAAACCTAGCTCTGGTCCTGCATCCAAAGGGCGAGGAAGAAGAGGGAAATGTCTCCCCTTGGAGCAGCCTGCAATAGTTTTGAGTCTTCTCAGTGCGCTCTTGGTCTCTGTGAGCAGGGATTTGGGAAGGCACCCCAGGAGGCTGAACTCAGCTGGAAAGAAGGATTAAAGTAGGAACAGCCTGGCCTTGTTCTTGTGCTGGAGCTGATGCCAGAGGGTTTCAAAGGAGCCCCCATGACTTTCGGTTCCATTTTATGCCTCTCCTACGGTAGTTTCTGGGGGTGCCATAGGCACATCCTGATGGAGCAGCTCCCTTCTTCCCTCCTTGTCAGCACAGGGCAGTGCTGCTGCCAGCCTTTTCCTCGCACCCACGGGCTCTGGCTCTCCATCACGCAGTGCCTCTGCCTGCCCCCAGCCTGGCTCTGCCACTGGCCTCACACTGAGACCTCTCCCTGTGCTGCCTGGTGCCCCAACATCCAAGCGTCGTCTCCTTCCTCCAGCTGCAAACTGGGAGATTTGTGTTACCCGTTATCCAGCACGCTGGGATTAATTTTCCCTGCTTATCGCTTACGCTCCAGCTACGCTGACCCCCGGGGGCTGTCCTCCGCTGCTCTCCTCCTCCCGGCATGCACCCGTGTCCGCTGGAGGGGAAAGTGTGAGCCAGCAGCGGGCCGCACCGATTCCTGGAGCGGGGCCAGGCACACGTCCCAGTGCGCAGGGCAGCCCCGTGGCTCCTGGCGCTGTGCCCCCTGTCCGGAGCGCCAGGCTCAGACCGAGCGGTGCCAGCCGCTGCGCCAGGGCAGGAGCTGCTGCCCCTCGTGTTGGGCTCTGCTCCCCACGGCTCCTTGCCAAGGTCTGGGTGTGGGGCAAGGAAGGACCCTGCTTCCCCAGGAGTGATCCCACTGCATCGGTAACTTCTCCCTGTGCCTTTGGAGAGACCTGACTGCTGCCAGAAGCGCAAAAGACACAACCACAGCTCCTCTTCCTTTTATTTTTTTTCCCTTTTCTGAAGGCTACCCTGCACCTCTGCCTTAGACCCCGCTGCAGGGGGTACCCAGCAGTTTCTCCTGGCATGTTCCCTCATAGCAGAGCCCCTGTCCCCAAGGGCAGGGAGTGCTGTGTGAGACCGTGTCCTGGCGGCAAGGACAGAGCCCTCTCCCTGCCCTGCTCAGTGCACAAGGCTGCAGTGCTGGGCTCTGCTTTTCCCCAGCCAGCCGGGCTGGCAGCGGCTCACCCATCCCCAGCAGCAGCACCAGCCCTGGCCCCGGGGGGGCTGCACTCCCCCGAGGGGTTTCTCTGTGTGCAGGCACAAGGAGTCACTCTGATAACCCTCAGGGAAGGGCAGCCCCTGGCCAGAGGACCCCCAAGTGCTGAGATGGCCACGGGCTGTTTTGGGGCACCCCGGTCTCCAAACCCAGTCCTCATCTCTCACTTGTTTCTCTTCTTTTCTCCTGCTCTGGGGACCCAGGTGCCACAGCCCTGGAGTTCTGGGGGTGGGGGGTGAGCTCCCAGCAGAGCTGGGGATGAGGGGGGCTGGTGGCCGAGCAGTTACGGGGCTGCTGCACCTGCCCCGTGGCCGAGCCCTGCCTGCTGATGCCCACAGCCCCGGCACCCTGAGATCCCCCCCATGGGTGCGCAGGGACCCAGGCGGGCTCCCGCTGCCCCGGGGGAGCTTCCCTCCCTCCCCACACGCAAATGTACCCAAATGAGGGGGGCGTGGCGGCACCAGACCCCTCCCCGCTATAAGAAGTTCGCTGCGGCGGGGATTGCAGCAGCCGCAGCTCCGCACCGAGCCCCGCCGCACCGAGCCGCCGGGACAGCCCGGGCCCCCCCCCCTCCAGCAGCATGGTGAGTGCGCACCGGGCACCGGGCACGACAGGGGGGGCGCCCCGGGAGCGGCGGGGGCGCACGGCAGAGCCCCCGCCACGCGTCCCCTCCTTCCCTACCGTGACCTTGGGCAGCCCCACCGGGACCTGCCCGGGGGCAGCCGCCCCCCGCCGCTCCGGGGTCCCCCCGGGGTCCCCCCGGTGTCCCCCAGGTCCCGTCCCCGCTGCCCTCGCGGAGGGGGCTCCTGTTTGGAGGGGGTGGCCGCGACCCCCTCCGGTGGCGCCCGGTGCGCGGTGGCGGCGGACGGACGGGGACAGGTGCCGGGGGGAGGCGACAGCCGGGCACCGGGGCGGGGGGCAAGGCTCGGTCCCCCCCCCCGCTGCCCCGGGGGTTTCCCATCGGGGCTGGGAGCGGGGGGCTCGCCCCGTCCCGTCCCGTCCCGTCCCGTCCGAGGGGGCTGTGGCGGTGGCGGTGCGGGCAGGGGCCGCTGGCCAAAGCGGGCGACCGCCTGCGCCCTGTCCCGGGGGCCCGGGGACTATATTTAGAGTCCCGGCGGGGGCCGGGGACCGTGCCAGCAGCCGCAGCGCCCTGCCCCGGGCCGGCCCCGCTGCCCTTCGGCCCCGGCCCCCCCCCGGCACCGTGCCCCGGGGCTGGAGCCCTTCGCCCTCCCCGGGGTGCCCGCGGCGGTGCCGCACCGTCCCCGTCCCGTCCCCAAAACTGTGCCAGAGCCGGGGCAGGGGTGCCAGGGAGCCACTAGCATGGCCCCTGCCCGCTGCCCACCCCAGGGCTTTGTAGTTTGGGGACAGGGCTGCGTGACCCCAGGGGAGTCCCCTTGCTGCCCCAATACCCCAAAGCCCCCTGCACAGCCCCGGAGCAAGGATATTTTGGGGTTGCCCTGTGCTGGCTGTGTCTCTGGGACAGGAATGTGCCCACGTCAGCTCAGTCGGGCTGCCACTGGTGTGGGGAAGGGGCTGGGGCTGCCGGGGCAGCGTGAGCGTGGCTGGCGGCACTGCAGCGGTGCTGGGGCCACCGGGAGGAACGCCAGGTCCCAACCCGAGGGCAGAGTGGGGCCACTCGGCGGCACGTAGCTTGTGCAAGAGGAAGAGGTGCTCCCCGGCGGGTGGCTGTGGGGCTCCGGCACCGTGCAGGGCCCCCCGTGGGGTGGGTTGGAGGGCGCCGTGCCAGGCTCTGACCCTGCCTCCCCTCCCCAGCGCGAGTGCATCTCCGTCCACGTCGGCCAGGCCGGCGTCCAGATGGGCAACACGTGCTGGGAGCTGTACTGCCTGGAGCACGGCATCCAGCCCGACGGGCAGATGCCCAGCGACAAGACCATCGGCGGGGGGGACGACTCCTTCACCACCTTCTTCTGCGAGACCGGCGCCGGGAAGCACGTCCCGCGGGCCATCTTCGTGGACCTGGAGCCCACCGTGATCGGTGCGTGCCGGGGCCGGGCTGTGTGGCACGGGGCTGGACGGGCAACCAGAGGCAACCCCGCAACCCCAGGAGAAGCCCCAAAGCTCCACGCAGGCTTTATTACCGAAATGTCCTGCAGGCAGTGGTGCTGGGAGCCTCTGCTCTGCACGTGCGTGCGGAGAGAAACCAGCCCAACCGGCACTGCAGCTCACAAGGGTGGGAGAAGCCGAGCTCCTGCTCGGGGAGGTGGCAGCCACCTCCGTCGGGAGCACAAACCCGGTGCCTGCGGTGGCCCCGGGTCCTGGGCTGTGCCCCGGGCAGGTGGAGCAGGGAGGAGGATGAGGGACCAGGAGCCTGCACCAGGCTCAGCTCTCCCCAATCTCTCCTAGACGAGGTGCGGGCTGGGATCTACCGGCAGCTCTTCCACCCCGAGCAGCTCATCACTGGCAAGGAGGACGCTGCCAACAACTATGCCCGTGGGCACTACACCATCGGCAAGGAGATCATCGACCAAGTGCTGGACAGGATCCGGAAGCTGGTGGGTAACTGCTGCTGGAGGGGACGTGTCCCCAGGGCTGGGCTGTGCCGTCCTGCTGGGGGTCAGAGCCCCCTGTGCCCTGGGAGGGGTCTGCAGCTGCTCGTGGCAGGGGTGGAGCAGGGCCTGAAGGACTTCTGGGCAGTCAGGTGTTGACAGGGAGATCAGTGCCAGAGCGATCTCATGCTTCTCTCTCTCCCTGCAGGCTGACCAGTGCACGGGCCTCCAGGGCTTCCTGGTTTTTCATAGCTTTGGAGGTGGCACCGGCTCCGGATTCACCTCGCTGCTGATGGAGCGACTCTCTGTTGACTACGGCAAGAAGTCCAAGCTCGAGTTCTCCATCTACCCTGCCCCTCAAGTCTCCACCGCCGTGGTGGAGCCCTACAACTCCATCCTCACCACCCACACCACCCTGGAGCACTCGGACTGTGCCTTCATGGTGGACAACGAGGCCATCTACGACATCTGCCGCAGGAACCTGGACATCGAGCGCCCCACCTACACCAACCTCAACCGCCTCATCAGCCAGATCGTCTCCTCCATCACCGCCTCGTTGAGGTTTGACGGGGCTCTGAACGTCGACCTGACCGAGTTCCAGACCAATCTGGTGCCCTACCCTCGCATCCACTTCCCCCTGGCCACCTACGCCCCCGTCATCTCCGCGGAGAAGGCCTACCACGAGCAGCTGTCGGTGGCCGAGATCACCAACTCGTGCTTCGAGCCGGCCAACCAGATGGTGAAGTGCGACCCTCGGCACGGCAAGTACATGGCGTGCTGCCTGCTGTACCGCGGGGACGTGGTGCCCAAGGACGTCAACGCCGCCATCGCCACCATCAAGACCAAGCGCAGCATCCAGTTCGTGGACTGGTGCCCCACGGGCTTCAAGGTGGGCATCAACTACCAGCCGCCCACCGTGGTGCCGGGGGGGGACCTGGCCAAGGTGCAGCGCGCCGTCTGCATGCTGAGCAACACCACGGCCATCGCCGAGGCCTGGGCTCGCCTCGACCACAAGTTCGACCTGATGTACGCCAAGCGCGCCTTCGTGCACTGGTACGTGGGCGAGGGCATGGAGGAGGGCGAGTTCTCCGAGGCGCGCGAGGACATGGCTGCCCTGGAGAAGGACTACGAGGAGGTGGGCCTGGACTCCTACGAGGACGAAGAGGAGGGCGAGGAGTAGAGGCGCCGCGGCCCGACAGGACCTTGCTCCTTTCCGCGGGCCTCCCTTTGCGGGAGCCCTTTGCAATAAACCCTTTGAGAGCCTCCGTGTCTGCCAGTAACCCCCCGGCTGCAGTGGTTTCTTGCCAGGTCAGGTGTGTGCTGAGCGCTGCTGCTGCTGCTGCTGCTATGCTTGCTCCCCATGCTCTGCTCCTGCTCCAGCTCGCTCCCCACGCAGGTAAGTGTCCCCAGGGCCGCACTGCACATCCCGTACCGCTCCCCGGTCCAGGCAGGGTGGGTACCGCTTCCCCCTGTGGATGGCCCTGCATCGTACCTCGAGCCCAGAGGAGCAGATTCAGCCTGAGAGGACAACATCTGCGGCTGCTGGGACATCCCCCACGTGCAGCCAGAGGGGTGGGTGGGCTGGGCTGGAAGGAGGGAGCAGCCCTGTGTCCCCTGCAGCCACAGCAGAGGGCGAGGGCCGTGCCCAAGCTCTGCGGTGCATCAGGCGCACACCGTGAGGGCATCCAGCCTGTCAGTCCCTGTGGCTGTGTTACTGCCGTGTTGTGGTGGAGGATTAAAGGAGGGGAATGCTCCCTGTGAAACCACTTGGCTGCACTGTTTATTTTTTTTTCCCCCCTGCCTGTGGGCATTTCACCTGCCGTGTGTCCCAGTGAGCCCTCCCAGCTGCTCGGCTGCGGGTGCTCGTAGCGCTGGGGTGTTTGCAGAGCAGGCCCTGCTGTCCCAGGGCTGTCCTTGTCCCGTAAAGCTGGGCTGCTGCTCCTTCTGCCCATTCCCTGCCCCCTTCCCCTGCTGGTGCTGCCTCGGAGGACCTGCACAGCAGTGCCCAGCCCCAGCTGTGGACGGGAGCTTTGTGTTAACTCTCATCCATCAGGCACGCTGCGGCTGGAGATTAATTTTCCCTGCTTAATGCTAATGCTGTGGCTGTGCTGACCTGCCAGGGCTGTCCTCACGTGCCCTTCCCCTCCAGCAGTGCCTGCGGGCTCTGGCTGCCTGCTCAACCCAGAACTCACATCCCAATCACCCCATGCCCCGGCAGGAACAGGGACACCATCCACGCCTCTGCAATAAAGAACATCCTTTACTCAAAACACAAGGCAACGTAGGCGCTGAGGGCGGCGGTGGAGCAGGCGCTGTGTCTCACCTGCCCCCTGCCTCGCTCCAGCACCAGGCTGGGCCCCGACCACGGCTCTGCCCTGGGCAGGAGTGCCCCCTCGGGGTGCCATGCTGAACACCCTGCTCCTCTGGAAGCGCCTGTGTTTAGCAGCAGGTCGTGTGTACCAGTCCTGGGGCTCGGCCCTGGGCTGTGCGAGCCCCCAGCAGCAGCGTTTGGGGCGCACACCCCCAGCACACCGCCAAAGGCCACGCTTCAAGTCCAACACACCTCCAGCACGGAGCAGCTCTCCCCTGGGTGCAGAAATCCCTCTGAAACAAGCCCTGCGGGGAAGCAGGGCTGAGGGCAGCTGCTCCTCTCCTGGCTCGGCCTGTGCCGCCGCGGGGTGGGCTGTGCTCAGATGCACGTGGTGACCTGGCCGGCCGGCGCGGGCTGCAGCTCCTCCAGCTGCTGCAGGACCTCGTCGATGCTGGGCCGCTCCTGGGGGTTCACTGCCATCATGGAGCACAGCAGGCGGTGCAGGGCGGCCGAGTACCTGCGGGGAGAGAGGGAGAGGGCTCAGCATGGCCCTGCCGTGGGGAGCGGGACCTGCCCCCCCCCACCCCGCTGCCTCACCTGGAAGATGGGGGCACGGCGATGGGGTTCTGCACCGCCAGAGCCACGCTGTCGCCCTTCTGGAAGACCATGTCGTAGGGGCCCTCCCCGAACATCATGCAGTACAGCACGCAGCCTAGGGACTGCAGCGTGTCGGGGTCAGGGCAGCCCCACACCACACGGCATGGGGATGGGGCTAGGGGGCCAGACCCTTACCCAAATATCCGTGCGCTCGTCTATGACGCACTGGCTGGGCACTGTGAAGAGCTCCGGGGCTCGGTAGGAGATGGTGCAGCGCTGGGCAGCCCAGTCCTGCGGAGAGGCAGAGGGGAGTGAAGGGATGAAGGGCTCGGGGCAGGGCTGCTCCCCCCATATGGGGCACCCACCTGCACGGCCATGGCCTCCCGAGAGCTGTTGACTTCGATGCGGGCCCGGTTCATGGAACCAAGGTCCATCAGCACGGGCCGGTCATCCTCATCCAGCAGCACGTTGGTGGGCTTGAGGTCCCTGCGGGGAGGGGGGGGAAAGTCACCGGGTGCCCTGCAGCCCCCCCAGCTGTTGGCGGGGCAGGGCTGTGGGCCCCTACCTGTGCGCGTAGCCCTTGCTGTGGATGGCCTGCAGCCCGCAGCAGATGCCGTGGAGGATGTGGAGGATGCGCTGCTCCGGCATGGAGACCCCTTTCTCTCGCAGTGCCTCCACCTCACCCCAGAGGGTCCCCCCCTGCCAAAAGCAAGCAGCCGCTCGCCCCCACCGCCCCGCCGTGCGCCCAGGGGCCGGGGGCGGCGGCAGCACCCTGCTCACCTGCACGTAGGGCAGCAGCAGCCAGGCCTCGTGCTTGGCACCCTTCTCCAGCAGGCAGTGCGCCTCCAGCCGCAGGACGTTGGGGTGCCGCAGCAGCCCGTGCATCTCCGCCTCGCGCAGGGCGGCCTGCCGGTCCTCGGCGTCGTGGCAGGCGATGCGCTTCAGGGCGTACAGCCGCCCGTCGCGCAGCCCCTCCACCAGGTCCACGCAGCTGAAGCCCCTGCGGGGGGGAAACCGAGCACCGTTTGGGGTGGGCAACCCCCAGGGCAGGGGAGCAGGGGGTGCCCTTTTTGGGGTGCCCTTCATGGGATGCCCTTTATAGGGTGCCCTTTTATGGGGTACCCTTTATGGGGTACCCCCCTCCCCGCAGCCCTCCCCGGCCCCCTGCGGGCTCGGGACCCCCCCAAACGCAGCCCCCCCCCCCCCCCCGGTGCGCACCCCTCGGCCAGGCGGTGCAGCAGCAGGTAGCGCGCGCCCCCGATGCTGACGGTGCCGCGCGCGCACACGCACAGCGCCTGCCCCATCGTCCGTGCGCGTCATCGCCGCGGGCCGCGCGTCACCGGCGCGCCACCGCCTGCGGGGGGCGGGGCCAGTTGGGAAAGGGGGCGGGGTTTGGGGAAATGGGGCGGGGTTTGGGGGGAAAGGGGGCGGGGTTTGGGAGGAGGGGGCGTGGCCAAGGGGGTGGGCGCGCCATTGTGAGCCCCCCGCGGGGAACGGGGAGAGCTGGGGCCCGGCTCCGCACCGCGCCCTGCCCGCTGCTATGGGGCTGCCGGGCATCGTCCTGCTGCTGCTGGCTGCGGGGCTGCTGCTGTGTCCAGGTCGGTGCAGGACCCCAAAACCCCCAGACCCCAAAGCCCCTCGATCCCCACACTCCTGCACCTAAATCCCATAGACCCCCAACCCCTACACCCTAATCCCATAGACCCCCAACCCCCTGCACCCTAATCCCGTAGACCCCAATCCCCCTGCACCCCAACTCCCTGCACCCCAACCCCTTTAGATTCCCAGTCCCATAGACCCCCAACCCCCTGCACCCCAAACCCCTGCACCACAAACCCCCTAGACTCCCAATCCCATAGACCCCCAACCCCTGCACCCTAATCCCATAGACCCCCAACCCCTACACCCTAATCCCATAGACCCCAATCCCCCTACACCCCAAACCCTTTAGACTCCCAGTCCCCTAGACCCCCACCCCCTGCACCCTAATCCCATAGACCCCCAACCCCCTGCACCCTAATCCCGTAGACCCCAATCCCCCTGCACCCCAACTCCCTGCACCCCAACCCCTTTAGATTCCCAGTCCCCTAGACCCCCAACCCCTGCACCCTAATCCCATAGACCCCAATCCCTCTGCACACCAACTCCCTGCACCCCAACCCCTTTAGATTCCCAGTCCCCTAGACCCCCAACCCCTGCACCCTAATCCTATAGACCCCCAACCCCCTGCACCCCAACCCCCTGCACCCCAACCCCTTTAGACTCCCAGTCCCCTAGATCCCCAGCCCCTGCACCCTAATCCCATAGACTCCCAACCCCTGCACCCTAATACCATAGACCCCTGACCCCCTGCACCCCACCCCCCTGCACCCCAACCCCTAACCATCTCCTCCCATATGGCCCTGCCACTCACCCCGTGTTGAGGAAGGGTCCTCGGGGTCCGTGCAGGGGGTTTTGGGGTTGCCCAGCCCTGCCTCTCCCTCGCAGCCCACCGCCCCGGCGCGCTCCTTCCAGCTGGACTACGAGCACGACTGCTTCCTTAGGGACGGCGTCCCTTTCCGCTACGTCTCGGGCAGCATCCACTATGCCCGCGTCCCGCGCCCCGCCTGGCGCGACCGGCTGCTCAAGATGTACATGAGCGGGCTCAACGCCCTGCAGGTGTAAGTGCCGGGGCGACTCCTCACCCCAAAACCGGGTTACCCGGTCACCAGGAGGGGGATCAGCCCGTACGCTGAGCTCTGGGACCCCTGGGATTCCCCTGCCTGGCCCCGTCTCCCCCAGCTACGTGCCCTGGAACTACCACGAGCCGCTGCCGGGGGTGTATGACTTCGCTGGGGACCGGGACGTGGAAGCCTTCCTGGACCTGACGGCGGAGCTGGGGCTCCTGGTGATCCTGCGCCCGGGGCCCTACATCTGTGCCGAGTGGGAGATGGTGAGCCCTGGCCCCATGGCCCCGTGCTGGGGGTGAGGGGTGGTCGGGGGGGTTCAGCGGGGGTCGCCCACTTTTGGGGCTCTCCGAGCAGTTTGTCTGTCTCTCCTTCTGTCATGCGTGTTCCCCTAGGGCGGCCTGCCTGCATGGCTGCTGTGGCAATCAGACATCGTCCTGCGCTCCTCCGACCCCGGTGAGCCTCAGTGTGGGGCTGGAGCAGCAGTGCTGCCCCCCCCTCCCAGTGCCCCCCCCGATTATTTCCATCTGCTGGGCCAGGGGGGCTGCAGTTGGGCTGAGCTGCGCCCTGTCCCCCCAGCCTTCCTGGCAGCCGTCGACTCCTGGCTCCACGTCCTGCTCCCCAAAATCAAGCCTCGGCTCTACCAGAACGGAGGGAACATCATCAGCGTGCAGGTGGGGTGCTGCGGGGCTGCCCCCAGGATGGGGGGGAGCTGGGTGCCCATCGGGGCCTGGCTGCATGGTGCCTGGCTCACAGGTGGAGAACGAATACGGGAGCTACTACGCCTGCGACTACAACTACCTGCGGCACCTGCTGGGCTCCTTCCGAGCGCTGCTGGGCAGCGAGGTGCTGCTCTTCACCACCGACGGTGCGCAGGCGGAGGAGCTGCGCTGCGGCACCCTGCAGGGGCTCTACGCCACCGTCGACTTCGGGCCAGGTGCCTCCGGGGTGGAGGAGAGGGGGCAGCGGGGTCCCGTACCCCTCCTGCTCCAACCTCCCTTCTTCTTCCCCGTGCAGGCTCCAATTTGACGGAGGCGTTCGGTGCGCAGCGCGGCGTCGAGCCGAGGGGCCCCTTGGTGAGGCACCACGGGAGGGGGCGAGCTGGGGGACTGGGCTGCCTGGGGAGGGGGTCCCCAGGCCTGGTGACAGCCCCGTGCCCCCCAGGTGAACTCCGAGTACTACACAGGCTGGC